GCGGCGCCGGGCGCCGGGGGGGGGAGCGTGGCCGCCGGCGCCTTCTGCGGCTGGCCGGGGTGCAGCCGCAGGAAAATGCTTTGAATAGGGGAGGAAAATGTTGGAGGGAAAAACCCTGCGAGGTTTCACGGGGTTTTCCTTCCTGGATGAATGCAGGAAAGCAGCGATTCCTGACTGCGCCCCTGGCTGTCCGTTCCCTGGGCTTGCTGGGCAGAGGAAGAAGCCTCGGCAGGGAGCAGCGGATCCAGCGGGACGGTGACGGCGCTGCCAGGCCTGCCGTGCACAGAGACCCCGGTCCAGCGAGCCCCAGTTCTGGTTTCAGAGGCGCTGATGAGCAGGGCCCGTCCTCCGGGCGCCCGCGGCGGTGAGTAGGGACCGCGCAGCCTTGGAGCGGGCCGGGATGGGCATTGTGTGACATGGGAGAAGCAGGGAGACGCGTCCGGGGGCAGCGCACGGAGCCGCAGCCCGGGGTCCGGCACCGGGCACGGTGTGGCCGGGCGCTCCGTGTGCGGGCTGAGCATCGCTGCGTGGGGCTGCACATCTGCACGCGCGCTGCACATCTGCACACATGCTGCACATCTGCACACACACTGCACATCCGTGTGCGGGCCACAGCAAACCCGCCTGCGAGCTGCTCCCCCTTGGCTAGGAAAACCATGGAGGAAGCAAGGAAACGCCTCGGAAAGGCCCTGCTGTTCTCCCAGCCGCCAGCTGAGGCTTGCGTGACGTCAAGTCCCTCGGGGATGTTTCTGGTTTCTCGTGTGAAACTCCCATTTGATGACAGCTGAGGCTCTGAAATCTCCTTCGTCTAAAGAGCAGCCTTGTTGTGGCTGCAGGGTGCGTGGAGGATGCTGCGGCTTGCGCAGCTTAAAAACCGCTTTGCAATTGGAAGAACGAGGTAATGAGTCCCGGAGGGAAAAGCTATACACAAAATGTTAAACTCTTAGGATATATTTACAGTATTGTCTAATGAATTTGTAGATTAAATGCAGGAAAACTTATGCAGACCTACTCACCCACGTGCACAAGCTTCAGAAGCCTCCCAGCCCCTCTCGACAGCAGCTCCCGCGTGTCGTTTGGGGACCCCGAAGCACATCCCAGCTCTCAGCGCTGGAGCGGCCTTTTGGATCAGGGTTTCTCTGGCCTTTTGGTCCTTGTCCTCAGGGTAACCCTGGTGCAGCCAGATACCTGCTGACACAGCCCAGGGCTGCTGCCCTGACTGGCAGCTGCTTTTGGGTCTCATTTGCAAGCATGGGGTAGAGGATTATATGGAAGGCTGCAAATAGGGATATAACTTTTTCAGTCAAAGTTGGTGATATTAACATAATTTTAATGATTGAATACATCCGCTAATCTTTCTTGTATCAGGATTTAATCTTTTGTGTGTTATTTCTCGGTGAAAGCCAGGAAGAGCAGGTTGTCACCTGCGGTTTGAGGGACAGAGGGGACGGCTACAGCTGGATGGGGCCGGGCACGGGACGGGCCGGGCTGGGCTGCTCTGACCTCGTGGCTGCCCTAGTGCAGGAAGGCACCGTCCTCTCCACCCGTGTATCCACCTTCCCCTTTGCAAACACAGCCCGGCCCTGCAGACGCGTTTCGTCCTGCTCATGGGGCGCGTGTGAGCGTTGGAGGCGCATGTGATGCAGAAAGGGCTTTTTAATCTGGTTGGCACTGAAGAGGAGCAGCAGAGATGCAGAGACGGTGTGAACACGCGGTGGTCTTGACCCGCACTCTGCTCGCAGCAAAGCCTGACAAAGCATTTGGGTCTTATAATACCTACATTTGCATTTGAGACCAACACGATAAATCTAATATGCTGTTTCTAGCGCATTGCTTTTCCCTGTGCTTACAGTGAGTGAAGTAGCGTGAAGGTTTCATTCACCTTCTTCCCTGAAATATTTGCAGTATTTGAAGTGCTTTCCCCGCAGTGCCGCGCTGGCTGCGCGTGCCGCTGCCCCCCTCTCCTCCCAGGCAGCCCCGGCTGCTCCCGCCTGGGGGCCTTAGGGGGCCCTCGGCCGGCGGTTCTTCCTGGGTCTCCTCTTCCTCGGAAGCGGCGCCTTCAGCCCGCCGAAGCTCTGCAGCTCAAACTCCACGGGGAAGTGGTCGCTGACGCCCAGCGCCTGCGAGGGGAAGCAGGGAGCTGCTCGGGGCCGCCCGAGGAACGCGGCACGGCGCGGTTTCC